ATAAAGACTTAAGGTTCAGCTAATTATCCCATAAAAATATGTTTGTCTTTATGAACAGAAAGTACCTTATACAATGGAAAATAATAGATTATGTGAGATGTTTATACCATTCAAATGAAAGAACAACTTTATAATTCTGAGGGATTTTTTATGGAATTTATAATAACTATGGATAGAATTTGTAACCCTACTCACACATTCCCCTCCTACTCATCAAACACCCTCCACTCCATCAAATGTTCTTCCTGTTTCCCTTTATCACTTGTTCTTACCCCCTGCTCTTTATTTGTGTGTCTTTTTTTCCCTTATTTCTGTTCATACTGTATTCCTTGAGCACAAGCCACCCTGTACTTTTTGGGAACCATATTAAAAAAAAAAAAAAATTACTACTACTGATAAAAGAATGGCAATTATAGCTTTAAAAGAGAACCCACAATCTATACTGACTGGAGAATAATTGTACTTGTATCACAGAAAGTAAAGCTAGAGTGAATGGGAACTGTGCTTTTTTAAAAAAAGCATAATGAATCCCTCTAAATAACTCATATACCAATAAGGCACCCAGCCACTGAGAATTCTAGGTTATCTAGTCTTAGACCTTTGGAACATTTGAATAATAACTTGGATGATGTTCAGAACAATTCTTTAATAGATATTCATGTGTGAATGTAATTTTTTAAAAGATTAATTATGTCAAGATTAAAATATTAAAAATTAAATGCAAATTGGTCATGATCAAATGGGTCAATCATACAAAATAAAGTCACAGAGTAAAAAATATAGTCACATTTCTGCATAAGATATGGAATGAAGACCAACCAAAAAAATTATGAGAAAAACCCAGGGATCATGTGATTCAGGAATCCTCATGGTGAAAAGATGAACAGAATATTAGGACATATGAAAAAGATGAAGACTCTAATGGTTTTAAAGTAACTACATCTGCATTTAATCATAATTATACATGAAGAAAACAGACATAAATGATTTTCAAGATCTGTAAAAATTGGGAATAAAAAGGTGAATAAAAAAATAGTGGGTGATGTTAGAAAAAGAAATTCATTCCATTACCTTTCAATAAGTAAAAATTAACATTGGTAGAGCTGATCTCCTAGGAGAGAGGATGACCATTTGCAATGAACAGAAATATCAAGAAGTCTATGCTTTCGTGAGAAAATATTATTCTTTTCTGTTTGTTTTAAAATCTGAATTCAATAATAATTGACTTTATGTTTTCAGATATTTAATTATTGAAAAGGAAATAGTTTATATAAATGCAGTTTAAGTTGCTGTCAATAATATATGTGTGCTTATATTTAAGAAGCATCCAGATAATAAATCTGTAATTTCTAGAATTCTTTAATATCAAGGAATATTATGTAATTGTTTCCATAACAAGTTGTATGTCTCAGATACAGTCAACAATTAGATTAATATTTGTAAAAATGAATGAGATTTCCAAATCTTTTAAATCCAGGATGAGAGGGTCCAGTACTTTACTCATTAGACTCAATTCTCTAATCCAGGCATTTTTATTAAAGTTTCAAACTGGCTGAAATATTAAGAAGGCTATGGCTATTCTGTAAGTCAAAAAAGGAAAACTAAAATAAACTAAAACTTAAAAGCAAAACCTGAGTATGGAAATAAGACATGAAAAGAGAAAGAAGATTCATTTTTTTTAAAGTTTCATATAACAATATAATAAAATTATATTTTTAAAGCAGTACTTCAAAAAAGTATTCTTCAATTTTTATTTAAAGACTCCTTTCTGCTTGTTCATTTGCTTGTTTTTCAAAGGAGAAAAACCAATCACTCTCAGCATGAATTTGGAGAATCTATAATCTTAATACTCAAAGAAACTTTAGTATTTGCATTGTTGGAAGACTGGAGTAGAGTTGAACAAAAGTTTACTGTCATGTAAGTGAACAGTATAACTAAAAAAAATAGGTAGAGAGCTTCAGAAAATAACTTCCACCAAAAGGCAGGAAATACAGTAGCAATATGCATGGAAATTTCCTGAATGGCAGTGATTAGAAAGCCATATCCACGTTTTCACTGTCTTCTCAAGAATCAAAAGTACTTTATAATCATTACATAAAATCCTTATGTTGATTCTGAGACATAAGTTTTTATTCAGCAAATAAAGCAGTAGAAAATTCTAAGTAAAATTAAATCAAGTAACAGAAAATCACTATGGGTTATATATACTATGTTTTGTGATGATATCACTGAACATTACATTTTTGTTGCTTTAAAAATTCAAATATTTATCTTCCTGCTAAAGATAGAAAAATCCTACCTGTAAACTGTCAGAAAAGTGAGTTAAAGGAGGAATCTGTAAACGTCTATAATTAGAGTTAATTTATAATTTTTACTTTTAAAAGCTATAGAACTAATATTGAACCATTATTACTTTAAATTTTTCATATAGCTTCTCTTTAAAAATTACAGTTGACTGTTTTAGCTCACTTCATCTCATTCCCTAAGAGAAAATGAGAGCATCCTATTATAGGCAAATCTGCCCTCTAATTTTGGTAAATGTTATTAGCTCCCCAATAAAACATGACTCCTTCTTAATGAAGTCTAAGGAAATGACAAGATATATGAGAATGCATTTTAATTACCATGGCTACAGCAAAAATCAACTTCAAACAAACTACACTAACTTGCTGGCTGAAGAGAAACCACTGGTCAACCCTCTCACCTCACAAAAAAAAACAGGGGAGATTTTCCCCATAATTGTGTTTAAATATAAATTGACTCCCTATGTCAATCATTTTCACCTCTAATACTGGCATCTCAAACTTAGAAGATTTTAGGAACGTTGTACTTATTTGAATTAAATATTATTTTTATCACCTTGTATTAATATAGCACCTTGTTCTAAATTTGTCAATACTGTCAATGTTTTGTTTTTAAATCCGAACATTCCTTATGGTATATGGACACATAGCCTGATGCATAGATGTCATTATCAGTGCCCTGTGCCAGTGTAGAGACTGGGTGCTTCAGATTCATTATACCTTTGTGTGCACAAACTGATATATAGATCAATTCTAATTTTTTTTTTTTTTGGCTTTACTAATGTAAAATGTGACAAATTATAAAATCTTTTTTTAAATGTTATCTAGAAAACAATATTTGTTTAAACAAATGGCTTTTTGTGTTCAAAACATGACCTGTAAAATCTAATTTTCAACTTCCACAAAGAACAATCCATATGGTAAATAAACTAAGAGTATCAAAGTGATACATAAACATTGATTCCTTGACAGAGACTTTTGTACTATATTAACAATTAAAATGCTGATGTCTGTCTGGCAGGCCTACCTAAAGAAAGATATAATATATTTTGGTCTATTCGTAGACATAGAAACATGCAATGAACACCACTGCATAACGGTTTAAAACAGATGTTTAGGGTGATTCCTCAACCCACTTACTTCAAACAATGGTCATTAAAACTATATGATAAATTAAATAAAAGCCTGTATGAAGTTTACTGGAGTTAATTTAAAAATATTATGATGTACTTCAAGTATTTATTCTTAATTATCTTAATGAACATATATATCAGAACCAGGCTGATAATTTGCCACCAGGCTAAACAAACTATACAGTTTATTGACTGTCTATAGTAAAGTAAATATGTCTATGATGTGCCGTGACAGAATAATTGAACTGCTTTAATTCTAACACTTATCTGAGCAACATAGTCAAGAATTATTAGGGTAAGATTTTATAAATGAATAATGAAAATGACACAAGAGCAAAACTTTTTAAAAGCATATTGGCTCACTTTTAACTACAACATCAGCTGTGGGTTGGAAAAACAATCTATACTCGTAAAATCGAAATTAAAATTTTAAAGACAAAATTTCCACTTAAAATTTGTTAAGATTTTTCTTTTTTTTAATACTAAATTCTGAATCTGGCTATGCTTCTTTATAAAATGTCAGAGAACTCTTTCATGTCTTTTGGAGGTTATTTTTTTCATTGTACGTACATTTGAAAACTACCTAAGGCAAGTCCTTCAGACAGATGAATTCTAAATGACACATATACAGAAACTGAACTTAAATCCCTCAGTTCCTGAGCTAATTGGATGAGTGATTCTGGAAGGCTTCTCCTGTTTGCTGTGATGCCCTCTAACGACTAGATGGACCTGGCTTTAATAACCTCTCCATGTGCAATTTGTTTCAGCATTTACACTGCTGATAGTAGGAAGCAATCCTCTTTAATGGATGCTAAAGAGCTTCAAGTGAAATCTGTAATTGACAAAGGCTTCATCAAAACAGTCAATTAAGAATAAAATTAACAAGAGGCTCTACAGGAAAAGCACTCAAGCTTTCACAGAATACATTTCTAGGAAAATATTTAGTAAAAATAAAAATTTGAAAGAACCAGGTGTGGGTTCGTCTACCTTTTTAAATTGCTTCCTGAATCTGTGTACTATTTAAAAGATGACCATACACAGAATTCATGTTATTTAAGTACAGAGAAATAATCTATGTACTAAAAGTATTAGGGGGAAAAAAAGTTATAAGTGAAAGTTGAGGCAAGCTCAGTACCTATTCCTTCAAAATAAAAAGCTGCTCAGTTTTGGTACCTCAAGTTTAATGGAAGAGTGCACTGAAACAAACCAAAACCGTTCCAAAGAGAGAAGCAGCAAGTGCAGAGAAGAGAACAAGGGTACTCCTTTCCCCCAGGGCTCCTGGAGCCAACAATACTCCTTAAATGTTACTAAGTGAGACTTGCACATTCGAATGGTAAAGATAAGCGTGCCAGAGTGAATGGAAAAAGAACAGAACTGTTTTTTCTCTTTGCTCAATACTCCAACACCCACATCCTTCCTGCCCCCCCCCAAAGGGGGGTGGTGGTGGTTTACCTGGCTGTAGGTAAGAGTGGTAGCAGGATGTATTTCAGGTGAGTAAATTTCAAAGCCTGGCGCCAAGGAGGGTTGGCAGGCGCCAGGTGGGGAAGGGGAGGTCAGCACTTACTTTCAGCAGCTTGCAGCGGATTTGCGCGGAGACCATGTGGCTGTTGCGCAGGTTGCCCACTCGAAACATGAGCGTGAGTTTGCCGTCCCTCATTGAGATCACCGCATGTTCGCTGAACATGAGCGTCTCAGCGCGCTTCTTGGGCTGGGACATCTTGATGAACATGCAGCCAATGAGGAAGGCGTCCACTATGGAGCCCAAAATGGACTGGAAGAGGAAAAGGATGATGCCCTCGGGGCACTTGTCTGTGATGTAGCGGTAGCCATAGCCGATGGTAGCCTCTGTCTCGATGAAAAAAAGGAAGGCAGACGGGAAGTTGTAGACATTAGCCACACAGGGAGTGTAGTTGCCTACGTGGGCTTTGTTCAGGTCACCCCGGGTGTAGGCGATCACCCACCACATGGACGCCATGAAGAGCCAGGCCACTGTGTAGGTGAGGATGAAAATGAAGAGATTCCAGCGCCACTTGAGGTCCACCAGGGTGGTGAAGAGGTCCGAGAGGTAGCGGCTAGTTTCGCTGCCCAGGTTGCCGTGCTGTACATTGCACCGGCCGTTCTTGTCCACGAACCGCTGCCGCTTCTTTTTGGGCACGAGCTGCTGCTGCGGGCCCTGGCCCGGCCCCTGGGGTTGCAAGCCCGAGCCGCTTGACGAGGTGGTCACTACCTGATAATCGTCCCCAAATTTCCTTCGGAGTGCAGACATAATACGGAGGGGCGAGCCAGATTCAAAGGCGAAGCGAAGGCGCAGGAGCCGAGCGCTGCAAAGCAGCACCAATAAGGTGGTGGGGGCAGGGGATAAAGGGGGTGGGGTGGGGTAAAAACCAGCGCGCCGGAGGTGGGGGCGCACCGGGCAGGTAGCTTCGGCGTCTGCCCCCTGCAGACGCCTTTGCTCCTTCTCCCTCGGGATGGAGGCTTTCTTTCCCCGCTGGGTCTTAAAAAAGTACTCTCTCACACTCAAGGCAGGAGGAATGCAAGGACCAGGAACCCCAGCTCAATTTTGCCTCCAGTCTTTTCGAGGCTCCTCTTCTCTTCCCCCACCACCGGCATCCTGGGCCACCTCTTACCGTTCCTCGCCTCTCCTGACTATTCTGCAGCACCCCAAAACTGGACTGTTGAAAATCAATGAGTTGACAAATGACTCTCTCCCCACCTGCCAACTCGTCAAGCTGCCGCGGGTGCACTACCTGCTTGGACCAGACGCTCCCCCCTCCCTGCCGCTCCCCGTTCTCCGGGCCAGGGAGACAGCTAAAGGCTCCCCCCACCCACCCACCCCGGTGCTGCCTCCTATCTTTTGGCCAAAATCCGGTCCAAAGACATGTCTGCCAGGTGCTGGTGTAACACCCCCTCCCAAAGCTCTCCTGGCTCAGAATGCCCCTCTCTGGACTCCGGAGATGTGTCCTATTGGCGTCCGTGGGCCGCTGAGTTTCCGCGGGCGCCACTAGGGCACCCAGTCCGACCCTCGAGAGCCCCCAGGACGCCCGGGCGCTAAGCAGAGCAGCAGCGGTTTGCGAAGCCGGGACACTCACCCAGTGGCAGAGGGCAAGAGGTGGTGCGGTAGGCGGTAGCGGCAGCGGCAGCTTGGCCTTGAACTCTGCGTTCGAGGCTATTTTCCTCGCCCCCACTTTTCCTGGTGTACCACGATGGGCACCAATGCAGGTACCCTAATCTCCACACTCTCCCTAATGGCACCTAGCTGCACCCACGAGAAGGATGCTGGCAAGCCGAGCACAGACTGACTTGGGGACTCCGGGGTTCTCTGGCGTTGTGCCCTCCTTCCAGGCGACAGAAGTACTGTTGGATGGGGTTCGAACCTCGGGCTGCGGGTCAGACTTTTTCAGGTTAAACACTAGAGCCGCTCAAATTTTTCTGTTTCCCGGTGGAAACCTCTGCCTCTTCCTTCTTGGATATATCCTACTCCCTATCCGCGCTCAGTAGCCCCGGGTGGGGGATGCAAGGTGGAAGCAGGGGCGGCGGGAGTGTGGTGTGTGCTGGTGCGTGTAATCAGCTGCAGAGTCGCGCTAGACCCGCCTGTCCCTGCCTTCCCCCGCTGCTCCACCAGCCTGAATTGCACCTCCGCGCCTCAGTTGAGCCTGCAGTGTCTGGCAGCTTTGGAAAAGCGAGCCCCTCCAATGAGAAGCATCTCTAAATCTGCTCCCAAACGCCAGCCAACTCTCCTTCCTCGTCCCCCTGCATCAGTTAGAGAGCCCCCAGCAAGCAGCAAATGCTGCTCTCTGAAGGAAGAGAAGTACAACATGTCTCTGTAACGAGGGCTCTAATTTCAACGGATGCTTGGATTTGGGGATGCATCATAAACACAGATCAATTGGTTCCTAGATGGGTATAGTCAGACTCAAAGTTGCAAATAGCAGCGGGTGGGGGTGGGGACGCTTAGGAAGAGACTGTAAAGTAGGGGATACGCTGATACAAAAGCTTCACAATCAGTCCTAAAAAATGGCCCTGTTTTAAAAGGCTCAGACTGGCTAGGGTTAATGTGTGGCTGTAGTTGAGGGAAGGCTGGATTTTAATGATCCAGAGTTTGCAGTTACTGTAATGGAGGGTAAAGTGCAGAAATACCTAATGTACTGCCTGTGAGTAAATATTTGCTTATTTACCACATTTCATGCTCGTTTAAAAATGACATTTGTATCTTATTGTATATTCCATTTAGTCCAGATACATAGACTTGATTTTGGTGAAGAATCATCAAGTCAATGGGCTAAAAAGGCTGCTACAAAATTTTCATGCAAAGGAAAATAAATGCATCATAACTCGACAACTACTCTGCCAATATTACTCTCTTCTATACCTCAACCCCTAAAACTCAGTTCAGGCAAGTATGTGTCAGCCATTACTAGAGGATACTTTCACTATCATTTGGTTAAAACCCCTATCCCCAATTACAGGCATCTCTGCCAGCTCTCTGACAAAAAAAGGTCAGTCAGTCTCTGTTATTCTTCTGGGATTACATAACAAGGGAAAGTGATACTATACAAAGTGGAACCTGCTCTGGTCCTGGAATTGTAAGACCTTATGTGAGTCCCAGCTCTGCCATTTACAAGCTGTGTGACTTTGAGCAAGAAATTGGATGTCTTTGAGTTTCAGTTTTCTCCTCTGAAAAATTGAGAGTAGGTATGATAAAAAGAGAGTAAATGTGGTTTCACCAACCACAACTGCTAAAAGAAAAAAACAAACTCACTGCCATAGAGTTGATACCTACTCAACTCTAACCTAATATTTGGTGGTTCAAATCCACCCAGCCATACAACAAAAGAAAAGCCTGGTGGTTTGCTTCTGTAAAGGTGACAGCTCTGGAAACCCTTTGGAGCAGTTCTACTCGGTAACACATGGGGTCGCCATGAGTCAGAATCCACCAACATAGATGAGTTTGTTTTGTTTTTATTTGTATCACACAGATGGTAAGACATTACAGCAGGGATTTCAAAACACATCTGCCCATCCCCAAGGCCTCCATTCTGAGAGACATAGTGTTGTCTGATAAGTTAAATATACTCTAGGATGTCATTGTGTCACACTTCAGGTGTGACTGAGTCTTTGAACTATTTGTGACATTGAGTCAAACTCTGTGCAAATGTTTACAGAGGAACCAAACTCATCTTCTACTGTCAGGACAGCTGCTTCCATGATGAGGTTCTGGAGGGCAGCCAGCCCCACAGTGCTGAGGCCAGCCCTGCTGCCATTCCACACCACTAGTCGGGATGTGTGGGGAATAGATGACAGAAGGCCACCTAATCAGGTGCTGTCTGATGAAGTGAAAAGAAACACTGTAAGCCGAATGGGTCAATAAAAGGAGAGGCATTCAACTTCAGACCAGGCCACAAAGCTGGGAAAATCTGGAAACTATAACTGCCAAACTAAAAATCATTTTGAGTGTAATATTTAAAGATAAGGTTATAAGCAAATTACCATAGTTAACAGTAGAAAAATCAAAGCTATACTTATTATACTCTGCTAAGAGCAAACTACATACTCATTCTGCCCAGGAAGTACTTCTGGCAATGTTTTATTTGCTGTGTCCAAAATTAGTAATATCACAAATAACTGCAACTTCCAAAATGAAGGATATGATTCTGTGTTTTATACTAAATAGGCATGACTTTGCACATATACTTACCCTATTATGTAACTGAACAGTGTGGGGAAAATAGTGTATCTAATATAAAAGAAAAAAGCCACTGCCCCTGAAGAGTCCAAATTCTAAAAATGACTTATCGGCCAACTGAAGAAAAAAAAAAAAAAAAAAAGCAAGGCTTTGAACGTCTCAGTATACCTGAAGTCTGTCTTCTTGTCATTCACTTATAACCACTGTGAATCACACCATGTGACAATGTGTATGACCAGAATATATTAATTACTCCCAAATACTGTTTTTAATACTTTTACTCCCAATCCAACAACTCTCCAAAAATAAAATAAAAAGATGAACAAGCCTAGGGAATTGAAGTGCTTATACTTCAAAAGATGACGTTTCTATTGCTACCATAAATGTTGCTATATCTGGGAAGAGGTCATTCTTTGAACTCCTAAGTGAAATTTAGGGCAATAGAATGGTGTTACTTTTTTAACCTTTCTTAAACAAACAAACAAACAAATAAAAATGTTGAAGTTATTTTCTCTATTGACAAAGTAAATTAGAGAGAGAGAGAGAAAGAATAAGAATAAAAAATGAAAACAGATATCAGTTTGAGGTTTGATTGCACAGACTTGAGAATGGAGGCATTGTGCTATACTTTGGCAGATGACTCATTCAGCCTTTAACATTGGCTCTAAAATCCTAGCCCCTTCCTGAGGATTCAGAGAAAGGAAAAAATGCCGTTGCCACTTGGAGGCCATTTGTTTTGTAATACTGCTCTAGCAAATAGTAATTTACTCAGAAACCCAATGAGGGGTCATTATGAGTTGCAATCGACTTGACATCAGTGAGTTTGGTTTTGATTTTATCAAGGCGCTCTGGTGCCTAAGGTATTTGACTGCTAACCAGAAGGCTGGTGGTTCAAACCCACCAGACACTCCTCGGAAGAAGATTGGGCAATCTAATTCTGTAGTGATACCACCTCAGAAACCCAAGGAGAGGTCACTATGAGTCAGATCTGACTCCACCAGCAGTGAGTTTGGTTTTGTTTTTGGAAACAAAAGCTATGAAGGAGCTCTGGTGGTGTGGTGGATAAGGCATTTAGCTTCTAACCAGAAGGTCAATAGTTCAAACCCACTAGCCAGTCCATAGAAGGAAGATGGGATATTCTACTTCCATAAACATTTATAGCCTTGGAAACCCCATGGGGTTCTGTATGAATCTAAATCACTTGAAGGCAGTGGGTTTTGGTATCAAGCTATTATCACTTACATTTTATAACCACTTACATTACCTCTGCCCAAATTACACCATTTTACTACTTAGTGTAGTACTTTGAGGATAGATTTTTATGACAAGATTTCTAAGAGGTAAGATTCTGCACTCCTTACAGCAGAACTGAAAGTTCTCAAATGGAGATTGAATGGTAGATCGTCATGGTTGCTACACAGATTAGAGAAAAGGAATTTATCAGTGTACTTCAGAAGTTGTATTATAAATATTCAAAAACAGCAGCTATAGTCTAAAAAAATAATTATGAACACATTCATTAATCTTTAGTTTCATCTTGATATAATCACACAAATTTCTTTTGTGAGTGAGGTGGGCAGAGCCCATGCTATATTGATCTTGCTTTAAATAGTCTTAAAGAATAGGGATATATCTATTTAACTCCTTTTATGATCCTCCAACATTGAGGCTGCATTCCTGCTACCTTAAAGAAAGATGAGAGCAATGGAGTAGGTGGACCATGGAACTTGGAGCAAATGATTTGTGCTTGACTATTAACTCAAAGTTTGGAAGCTTGAATTCATC